TACCTTTAGAATAAGCTTATAGCTAACTTATGAATTCTAATTACCAATCTTCAAATGAATCCCTATTTTATCCTAGGGAGTCGTTTTAGTCACTAGAGATCTAATTTTGACCCTATCCCACAAATGGTCAATCCTTGGATATCAATCCAACCTATCCTGAGAGGTTTTTAGGTTGATCCTACCCTCAACTTAGTCCTAGTATCAACCATATTAATAATTTACTTCATTTATCTTACTTTTATCAATTTATAGCCTTTCTAAGGTAATAAAAAAAATTCTACAATCTAGAAGGTAAAATTTCTAAGCAATCTTTAATCCATTAGCTATTAAGAGAAAAAAACAAATTAAGAGGCTTTTATAAAAACCACATTTAAATATCTTGAATTATTATTAAATCAAGATGATTAGATATTAATTAAAATTTTATTTTTGATTATATTTTCACCATATAGTTGTTTTACAATACAATATTGCAGTATGCTAATGCTTTGAGGTTTAGTTCTAGATATTTCCATAGATATGTAATTTCTTTTTCATCCAAAAGTTATATCTATCATCTATATTATGTCTCTATTTAATTTTATTTAGATCTCCGATCAATGTATTATTAAAGAAAGGCTGGTGCATCAATTTTTTGAAAAAACATGGTGGCTGCTATTGCAATCCTAACTATATTTCTTACTATTTTGTCCTTGTATTGTGCCATAGATGTGAACCTTTGGATTTTAATTTGATCTTATTTCTCATGATATAGTACAAACTATGGTATTTTTTTCATCTTTTATTGTAATGAGTTTCTGCATTGTGGTATTGAAGTAGAACTCTCTATGGCTCTACCCTAGGCATTATTCTATGAGCAATCAATTTTTCTATGAGTGCTTGGACTTGTAGTTTGGAATCAAGAACCTTTAAACCTCCATGCATTAATGATTGGATAATAGTGTTCTATTGTATCTTAGCTCTTATAATTTCTATAGTGATTTTGGACCATATATAGTTCCTTATCAATGATTGTACTTATTTGAAGATTTTAGTCTCAACATTGGTATATGAGACTAAGAACCATATTAAAGCCAAGACCACTTGATTGAAAATCATAATCTTACTTAATAGTGATAATTGCTTGGATTCCCATTTGATAAGTTGATCCATGATTTGTTGTAGAATTTTGGTTCTATTTTCTTCAAAAAATATATAGAATCCAATTAGAAATCCTAGGTAGCGTACAAAGATTTTTGTTTGTACTTATATTAAATCTTGCTGATTTTTTCAATTTAAATTTTGAATTCTTTGACAGGCCCAAATTTTGAAAGTTTTGTACCAATTAATCTTAGCAATTGGAGCTTCACAATATATGTCTAATATCCTCATTTTTCTTTGTATGTTATTTGATTCTCTTTTGAGGAATAGTAAAGTGTTATTAGCAAATAAGGAATTAGTGTTATTGATTTGATTAGGTAAAGTGAATCCTTCTAAATTATTTTTGGGATCATCCAAATATATCAACTATAAATAAAAATAGGTAGGATACCAAGGAGCATCCTTGACAAATTGACCTTTCTAATTTGAAAGATTGTCTTTACTTTCCATTAATAATAATCACTACTTTAGCTTTATTATTGAGAGCCATTATTCATATAATCTATTTGTTAGAAAAGCCTAATTGTACCATTGTTTCTTACAAAAAAGTCCAACTAATATGATCATATGCTTTTTTTTAAATCTAAAAGTATGAAGACTAGCTCTTAATTACTCTTTTTTGCTCAAAACATGAATTTTGTGGCTAGAAAGATATTATCAAATATTCATCTTTCTCTAAAAAATCTCATTTCAAATTTGCAAATCCATCTTGATAAATTAGGTACTAATCTATTGGATAATCATTTTGCAATTATTTTATATATTGTACTTAGAAGAAAAATTAGGCAATAATTTATAATTAGAGAGCTCATTTGATTCTAGTATGAGCACAATGTTGTTGGTGTTGAGTTTATTGAGCAATATTCTTTGTGTAAGAACCTTGTTGATGAATTCTATCATATTTGGGTCTATTTTTTTTTTTAGCATTCTTAAAAAAAATTAATTGGTATTATATTCAATCTAAAAATTTTGCATCTAAGGAGACCTTTCATTGCCATTGTGACCTTCATAGTAATTATAGGTCATTCTAATTCTCAATTTTTTTCATTTGTGACTAATCTAGGAGCACTTGTTAAGGTGGCTGTCCAAGATCTACATTAAGTTCAACAATGGAGTCTCAAGTATATAGCTGGTGATAATATCTTTATGTATATAATACCATGTCTTTCTAAAATATCAAAATGCAACCATTAGCATTGAGCTCTTTGATGTGGACTTTGCAATGATGAGCTTGGTACTATTGAAAGAACTCAAAATTGAAACGGTCTTTGGCTCTTGTTCATTTGGCTAAAAAGAATGTAAATTATTTTTTGAGATGACTATGCCAATTTTTTTGTAATTAAATTTTTATTTTATTAAGAGTATCACTTGTCAATAAGTCATTCTAATTTTCTTATAAGAAGAATTTGATATTAAGTATCATGTCTAGTTGACTTTTGTATTATTTTCTCTATGTTTGTTGGTTCTTTTTTTGTAATATCTAAGTTCAAGTTGCAAATTGCTTATAGGGTCGAGTGTATTTTGTCACTCCATTTGAGCAATGTGATATTCCATATGGCCTATTTCTAAGCTTTTATAAGGTGGTGATGGCCTTCTATTGATTCAAGTTGTTATTTATCAAAGAATTGCAATCAAGGTATTGGTTGGTATACAAATTTTAGTTTTATGAAGATAAGGATGAGGTCTAAGATGGTTGGTTGTGTTGTCCAAATTATGGATAGTCTACTTCGGTCTTTGAATTTGTTACCAATGTATATTTGGTCTAACATAGTGAATATTGTCTTTGAGACCAAGCATCTATTGTCCTAGATGAAATGTTTTTAGTTTATCTAACCAATTTTTTTCACATGAACACTATCTTGAACTTGTAATTTAATGAATATATTTGTCTATGTAATCATTTCTCATAATCCTAGTCCAAGTTTGTCATTTCTGCCCTGCTTGTCTTCAAAGGCCTTGATAAAGTTAAAATCATTCCTCATATACTAGAAGGCTTTGAGTAAAGGATGTTCTTTTATTCTCTGCCATGGCCTCATGCAAAATCTTTCATAATTATATCTATATATATTTGAAATATCTATTCAAACTCTGGAGTTGATTTCAAAGATAGAGTATTGAGTTTTTTTTTAGATAATCACCCCATATTCTTTTAGGTTATTGGTGAATTTGTTAGCCACAACAATAGATGTCTCCCTGGCTAGACTATCTTCTAATATTGAATACACTACATCATTCTATAGAATTGTACCATGTATATAATCTAGTTATATAGTTCATTTGGTGCAATCAATGTAGTTAAGCTGATGTTCTTGTAGTAGTATAAGGTCAAACATGGGATAGATCTTTTGCATAAAGTTGCGAAGCTCTCAAATTTTTTTGATGCCATCTAGTCTATTCTCTAAGCATTGGATATTATATATAGCCATTCTTAGGCCATCATTTACATATAAGAGTTGTATTGTCCTTTCCAAGTTTCTACTCAAAGTGATCCAATAGAGAAGGATAGGCATTTCAAATGTGTTTATCTTGAAGTATGTGGATGATTGTTTGGTGCCACTATTTGTATGGTATTGCTTTTGTTCATTCTAATATGGGAGCTTGAAAGTTGAATGTTAAATAAGAAATTTCTTTCCAATGCATTACTTGATGTTGTTTGATTATTGTGTTTTGTTCATTATATGGGAGGATTCTCCCATATCAATCAATAGTATGTATTATTTTTCTATTATATCATTCTAAAACTTCACATCATCTAAGTAGATGCATAGTGGATTGGAACCATTACTTTTATTGATCATTTCTACTTGAAGTCTTTATATCATAGTATTCATCATGTGCATTCTAAGAGATGTTGGTGACCAATCCTTCTCTTTTAGGGCATGTATCACTTATTTTGTGCAAAACAAAGCATCACTAGTTTTATGAACTATAATTTTAAGGAAATTATTTTGGAATGGCTAAACAAAAGCTGTTTTAATTTATCCATGGGACGTGCCTTTGTAAGGCAAATCTTATCCCAGAGCTCTCCAAAAGCTTAGTTATATGTATGATGAGACATATATGATTGATGTAGATGGTGCTTTTGGTCCTTTATGTACATATGGATTTAGTTGGTTTCTTCTCTACCTAGACAAATTTAGTGTGGAGAAGCATTGTAGCAGTCTTCTTCTTAGGTCTTGGTCTTTTGTTTTTTGATGTTTCTTCTTCTTCCCTAATCTGATTGTGTTGCCAACTATTGAGTTCTCAAAAGAAGTGGTTTTTGGCAGAGGTCTTTTGTCCTCTTCTTGCCCAAGGGAGTGTACATTGTTTAGTATGTAGTACTTCTACACATTGATTGGGAGGGCAATCCACTATACTCAATTTTGTACTTTTATTTGCCTCTTGTGAAGTTGGATAAAATTAGAGTGTGTGAGAGGTTGGCTGCATCCTTTACAAGTAGCCGGACCTTGGAGCCAACAGCTTTGCAATGGTAAGATTCGGTGGAGTCGACAGCTATAACTTCTCCAATGGTAGAAAAGGCTTTTGTGAGGAATTATGTTGAGCGAAAAATCCTTAAGCCTCGGAGTTGTGTCGAGTTTAGGAATGTAGTTTGGTATGTGTCGGTTTGTGATTCGGGGTCAAAGTCGGCTAGCCAAGTTGAAAATAGGATATCTTGGTTGTTGAACCGGTATGGTTTAGTTAGCGTGTGTAATTATCCTTGTCTGCTCGTAAATTCTACTTCGAAATAGCCTCCCCTGAGCATCTTTGTCGAGGAGTAGGAGCTATGAAGAATTCTCCTGGCCCACTCATGCAGTATTCTTGGGCCAGGGTTTTTTCTCAGGTATCCTGTTAGGGTACAACTTTCCTCGAATGCAATTTGGTCCTTCATGAGTTGCATCGTCTCTTGACTGATATTGGCTTTTGCTTTTGTGTATACAGAATCTGGTTGCATTGCCTTAGGAGTTGGATGAGTGGACGCTCTTGTAGCTCCTATGGTGGCTGATTTACTTGGTTGTTCGTGTGGTGGTCTGTCGCCGTGTGCCTCTCTTTGTCTGGTTTTGTGCGAGTTCCTCTCTCCACGGGCATCTGAATTAGCGGTTGTGCTTTGCTGCGAAGTGCGTATGCTACTTCCTTTTGGGGGCTACTGAGTGCAGCCTTTCGTTGCCCATTGTCTATTCTCCTATCCATTTTGATCGATGTGCTTACTTTACTATATTGGGTTCTGCTGCTGCTGAAGCCATAGCTTGAAGCCCGCTCTAACCCGGTCAATTACGTGCTTCACCAAGCGTTTGGGTTTCCGCAAAATTTGGATCTATTTCTCCCAAACCCAAATCTACCTGTGAATTGCTGCTATGCAACCCCCTAGAGTGTTGCAGTGCCTCACCGACTGTTGCAAACTATTGCGCTTCTCAATCTCTCAGAAATCAGTCATTTCTAAAATATCGGATCGCTAGGTTGTTTGCGACTCCGGATTTCATGTAGCCCGCCGCTTTGCTGCTCTACCAACTGGCTCTACCACTGAGCTATAAAAGTAGACGTTCTGACCTCCAAGAATGGGATTTATAGAAAATATTTGCCCCACCACATATTATTATCGAATCAGCATTGGACACGTGGGTGACGACGTGACAATTCATGGTGATATTTCGGAAAGTACTTTTTTGCTGGTTGCGGGCTAGAGGTGGTGGAGCTTTTGTAGGTTGGGTGTGCTTGCTCTGCCTTTGATCGGGGGGTTGCACTGCAGTAACTGGCGCTTGTAGATAGATATGTGTGGAAGTAATTTGCGGTTTGAGTATAATCTCTCTTGCGTTGCTTGGGCAGTTACGCTGTACTAAGAAGCAGCGATTTCTAGAAGATGGAGGTCGCCAATCGACCTTCCAGTTTTGGGTGCCCGCTTCTCAATGTAAGAGCTTGTACTTTTGCTGATCTTAGGATTGTTTGCGTGAACTAATTTGTTTACAGTGAGCGTTGAGCGAGAGTTTATGTTTCCATGTGTTGGCGAGGGGAGCTTCAGTTTGAAACTCATTGTCTTCAGTTGAGTGGTGGATAGTGAAGGAGATATGCCAGAAAGAATTCCTCTTGCCAAAGGTTTAGTGTAACGAACAGACTCGGGTAATGTTGAATTTCCTGTTTTACATGCTTTTTGTGAATGCCCGTAGCGATTCGCTGAGGATTCGTATCTGTCGTCTTTGCAAAGAGGTGGGCACAAAATGGTTCGTAGATTATCGCCATCGTCGACGTTGTTGAGGAGATTTGAACGCTGAATTGTTTTTGCGCTGTGTGTATAATTTTGAGTACCCGATTGGGTGAGTCAGTGGGATACGTCAATTCACGCAGCCTATGTTTTAAATAAGGAACTTACGGTTACTGTCGGAATTTGAGCATGAATTTTGCATGTTAGGGTTCTCTGACGGGCTCGAAACGTGAACAGAGCAGTTAGAAAATTTAGTTCTTTAGACGAGTTTTGGATCTTAAATGGTGAGTGGTATTGTGTGATGAAGGCAAATGTTAATGTTGATAGCTCTAACTGATCTATTTTGGGTTCAACAAGGTTCTCATATAATGATCATTGTGTTCCAAAACCTATGAACTTGGTTCGTTACAAGGCGGAGGTTTTATTCCAGCATGCGAGTTAAATGGTTCGAACATTCTTTAAATCTAAAACTCCGTACGTGGCTAGGTTCTTGATTGCGTTGGCTCTCGAACTATAAATTTACAATCTCTCTTTTACATCTAATAGGAAAATTTTGGGCAAAGAACGACAGATGACGATGTTAAGGCCCTAGATCCTTTCCACTTGGAGGTAGCAGATGGCCCCAGCGCGGGAGCAAGCGAGAACAAGCCTGAAATGCAATCAGCACTCGATCCTTTGCTTCAAAATCCTGATGGGGCGACGCAAATGTTCAATGATATGCATGGACTGCCGGTTGGGCTAGAGCGTAGTTGCGAACTTCATAGGCCAGGTGTTGAGCCTGGAGTAGGACCCAACAATAGCTCGAGTGTCGGGGCTCCAATTGAAGCACAAGAAGATAAAGTCCTTGGCACATCACCTGCTAGAACTGAATTAAGGCACATGGGTGGCTTAAATGTTGAGGCTCAAAGATTAGGGGCCACTTACTGGGGGGTCGGGACAGACGGTGGAAGAAGTGGCAGACTTGAAAACGGTGTCCCTTATGGTTACTTCGCTGGAGTTTGAGGTTGAAATTCACAACGTTTAGAATATAATTCTCCCTAATCTGTATCATCCCACAGAATTTTGTTTGCTGATTTGGTACAGATGATGTTGAATGGGAGAGTTTTTAACGAAAATTCTTGCCGGTTTTGGTCAGAATGTTTAGATTGTTTTCTCTGCCACAGACCATACCCCTGCTCTGTAAGTGGACGAGCAGGGCAGTGACATATTTCATAATTCATAAGTCTTGTCAAAGGCGAAGTTTTGGCTGCCTTGTTTGTCGCATCTCCGTTTCCATTGGTGTATAGAAAGTGAATCCCAGCAGTGGGCAAAAAATGTACTGATTTCTTTGTAACACACGACCTGTATTCTTATCAGCGAGGTAGTGGCATTCTGCTCTCTCTCATTGTTTTGAGGTGTGGATAATCCACCTGCTCCTGAATCTTAGCTTCACCTCCAAGATTCTAGAATCAAACTAATTTTAGCTCCAAATCTGTCTACGTTGGTGCGCTTTGAAGTACGTGCGCAACATGCCTTTTAATACTAAATGCATTTAATATTCTACATTCTCCTGCGAAGTAATCGGGCATTTTCTTACAAACAACTCAATCTGCTTAGAACTGTCTTATATCACGTCAAGGATATTTTCGCTTGGTTTTTGAGTCACCACGGGCATCTCATTCGAAGAACTCCTTCCGTCTGTGATAACTGCTATGACGGTGAGGCTGGCTTGAGTGTTTGCTCGAGTCTTCCTTGTAGTGATCCTTCCGATGGCTACTGCGATGACTGGAATGATGCTCGGATCCTTCTCTTCCATGGTAACTTGAAACTGACCCATCCTTGTAACGCTGGTGCCCACTACCGTGAACAGAAGTTGAAGTTAAATGGAGGTCCGTGCTGATGTGGAGAGAATGGGAATCCATGTAGTGGTGGTCCTTGATATCGTGGTCATTCTGGCAACGATGGCTGGTTGAACGGTGTCCTGACAATTCCTTTTGACGACGTTTACGGTGAGAAGGGCCATGATGCTCTAACCTATGTTGTCTGCTGCGATAAGAACGCTCCGCCGAGAACTCTCTCTCATGCCCTAAAGAACGCCCTGATTTATGGCTACTACGGTGACGATGACGGGGGAGATGATTGTGCGAAGCAGTCCTCGATGTACTCCTGTCGTGACGACCCTCATAATAGTCCCTCCGATGTCCATTGCGTGAATCTCTGCCCCGATAGACATGGCCACTGCGATTGCTCAGGGTTGTGGAAGTTGTGCTGTGAGAGCTTGTGGTTGTGACTGAGACGGAGTCAGACTCTTCGCGGTGCTTGTGCTGGCGGATGTAGTCTGGAGACGTCGATCGGCTTCTCTGTCTACGATGCTCATCTCCGACGTGGAGACTGCGATGATTTGTAATGTAATCCTCTTTGCAACGATCTTTGAATTGCACGGAGCTCGCCCCTGAGCGCTTGGAGTTCGAGGTTGGTGTGTCCACCTTCAAAACTTCATGTACTCCCTCGAACGAAGATTGAGGTTCAACGTTTTCTTGCTTGAGCGGTATACTCTTAGTTACCGCCGATGTTGGTTTAAAATCTGGTCTTGGCGTTTTTTGAGATTGCAAAAATTCTGCTTTCGGTGTCTTGGAACTTGGTATAGAGTCTGCTCCGAGTGTCTTTGGATATGAAGTGAGCTCGGCTTTCGGTGTTTTAGGAACTGGCAATGAGCTTGCTCTCGGTGTCCTGGGATGCAGGGTCAGGTCAGGCACTCTCGGGGTCTTGGGGAGCAGAGTTGTATCGGCTCTTGGCGTCTTCGGGAGCAGGATGTCGGATTTGGACGTTCGTAGTGGCGGAAGAGCTGGTACATCCATGTGTTCAGAGAGCTGGGTTCGAGGTAGCGGTGTTGTCTCAAACCTATGGTGTTCCATGAGTGCCGGATCTTTGGACTGAAAGGACTTGGTTACCTTCTTCCATCCAAAGCTCCAACCAGACTTATGCTTGGTGTTCTTCGTCAATCCCTCCACCTGACGCATCAGAAGCAGAAACATCAATGGCTTGCTTGATGGATACAGGAGTAAGAGTCTCAAAAATCAAGTTCGTTGGGATGCAGGTGCACGGTTTTATTTCATTACCTGCTGATTCATCCCGCTGTAGTCTTGGGCCATTTCTTCGAATTTCGTGGAAAGGTTGTGTATTTCCATTTGAAGTGCATCTGTTTGGATGAGGCGGCTCTTGAAGCTCTCAATTTCCTGCACCGCATTCCGCAATGACTCAATTTCGGCAAGAACAAACCTCAGAGTCTCCTTCGTAGATAAGCCACCCAGCAGCATAGAGCTATTTTCGCTGGCAATGGTCGGACTAGGTACGGCAAGATTCAAAGCATTGGCACTTGAGATGCTGGGACTCCGCAATCTGCTGATGGTGGTGACACTAGTACTTGTGCTGGAGCTTGTACTACCGTCGCTCAGATCACTGGAGGAACCGGATTCTGACGAAGTGGATGAAAATAATTTGTCTGGCCCACTACCCACATCTTTGTCGTTGATCACCTTGTTTACTGTTATGGCATTTCGAAGCTTTATTTGCTCATGGAAAAGCACCTGAAATTACCAACATTGAAAGAGAGAACTTTCGCTCATTAAATCTCGACCTAATTAGCAACCGAGAAAATAGAAGCTCAGAACTTCGTAGCTTAACTCCTCAGAGCAAGGAAAATCACAAGATGGATGCATTACTTGTACGATGACTCTTAGTGGGAGATGTTCGTTCGAAGCAGCGTGCACACAGGCACCCAAGGAGAGAGCTCCGGTGTCTATGAAACTGCACAGCTTCTTACGCTCCAGCTCGGTCAAGGATGGGTGAGCCTGAAACTCACGATGTATTACAAAATTGTAAGCTTGCATGCATTTATTTGTATTCTCTTGACCTTTCATTGGTCATACTAAGTTTCAAAGATAGCGGATAGTGTGTGATTAGCATTACCCTGAGGAAGGCATCAATCGCTCTATAAATGGAATCATCTGAATCACGGGGAAATTCTGTTATCAGCTCAGCAAGCGTGATGAATTTGGCAGGAGACACGTTGGAGTCTTTCCCAACTTCCTCCAAGTACGTCTCCAGAAGCTGGGCCACCTTGCAGTTCGTCGTTGTGGGCGGAAGTTGAGTCTTACGACTGGGGCCTTCGTTGACGTAGAATTTACTTTCCAGCTTCTCGCTTTCGTCACTAGAAAGATCTAATGAGCCGGTTTCAATGGAGGCAACTGAATTCGTCCGGCTGTGTAACTGACTTCGGCTCGACAATGTAGATGTCTCGCTCGATGTGCTTACAAAGCTCCCAGTACTGGTGCCACTAATGCTCGAGTCGGAGACACTGGAGCCAGAAATACTGCGACCGCTCCAGCTGTCCGTTGTAGTTCTAGAGTCACTCAAGCTGCTTGAAGAGGCACTTAAACTTCCAAGGCTTGATCTCGAGCTTGACGTGCAACTCGAAGATCCGGAGACGCTTGACCTTGAAACACTGCTTGGGCTAAACGCGGTAGAAATTCCCTGAATTTGGTCCTGCACCCTCATTTGCAGCTTAATGTGGTCATTGGACAGTTATTATGGCGGATCAAGCAATGTATGCATCTTCCGTAGGATCTGATCTGTCTAAATTCAAAAAGATAGCGTGCTCACTTGCAGATAGAATTCCACGATTTTCTGGACGATATCAAGGTCGCAATTCGATTCACCAGGTACAGGAATGAGGAGGTCGTCAATTTCAGCTTTCTCTAATTGAGAGGAAATTCGTTTCGCTAGCTCTGTCTTGCAGAAGGAGCTAGCATTCCCTAAACACGCGACTCGCAAAAGCTTGAGCAGGAATTTTACGGACGTTGCACTAAGCTGGAAGGGCAGTAGGTTCACAATCCCTTGAAGAACAGCCCGATGCCTGTGTAAGGTTTTTGTTGCGTCTTGAGGGACCATCTGCTGATCGGAGCTCGTGAATGCCACGATGCTGGCTTGCACTGGGCCATCCTTCGTCTTCAATGTGGTGGACAAGTCCAATTCTTTTGCGAGCTGCAGCCATTTGTGAGCGTAGTATTCCACAGCGGCTCCGAAGTCCACCGGATTCAACCCCTTCTTACTTACAGCATTCATCACTTTCTTGAATGCGCTAATGCTCAGCGAGCAGACCTCATCGAACCACCAATCACGCTGGACTTCCTTGGCAACTGCTCTACTGGAGAAAGACCATCGCACGGCATAAAGATCTGCGTTACATTTCCTAGCAATCGACTCAATGCACTTGCTTACGATCTCCAGATCATCTGCCATTGGGTTGAGCTCCGAGCAGGTCTTGAGAACGCTGATACTATCCCGCCACGAGCTCATTACTACTTTAGTTAAGTAATTCTCCGTCTTAGCCACCAAGTTTTCATTTCTAATGTCCTCTGTCATTTCCAGATACTCGGCGGCGCAACGCAGGGTTGCGACATTGTGAGGGCTGAGCTCCAACTTCACTCCATACAACAGCCTGACAACATGCTCAAATGTTCGGGCTCCTCCAGGGATGTCAGAGAGATCAATTTGACACCTCTCTGTATTGCGAGACTCATATGCCAGGCGATTGAGTCTTCCACTTCTGGACAGGAGCGGGAACTGAAAGAAGAAAACAAGGAACCTCGCTTCAGATTAAATAGATTTCCGTAGTCAGCTCATTCCGGAAACGGATTCTGAAACACAGTAAACAAATAGCGGGTTGGATCAAAAACCTTGTGCAGATTGAATCCCCGATCTCCCACTTCGACATATAGATTGACGTGTGGTTCTGTAGCCCCGCCCCTGCGATGCCATCACCAAATGCATCAACCGGTTCAGAGTGGGAATGGATCACTGCAAATGACATTAACGGCAAAAAATACTCACCAACCTAATTCACCATTGACAACGCAACCTAATGCACTCTAACTCGTGACGGTTGTGTTTACCGGACATTTCCTTTTGCAAGAGGCCCTAGTGTGCGTCCACCTCGGGGATGAGATCGATTCTCCTCCTTGGCTACCATGTCGCTCTATGGGTCGATGGCGATGTAGTTCGTGCCCGACCCACTGGATGATCTGCCTGAGTTTAAATCCTCAGGGACCTTGGTTCACCCCCGGCTAGGTGGCACGCTCAATCCTCACCTCCATTCTCTTATTACTCAAGTGGATACTAGCCCGAACGAAGTTCTCTTGTGACGTTAATTTCCGCTGAGTCCATATACGTGACAAGTGCAAGGTGTTGACGCGAGGAGAGTCTGGCGTTGTCACAGAATACTAAGAAGTCTCCTGGTGATCCTGTCTGAAGCCGATAATCTAATGCTGATGTTAGATCGCTGCTTTCTGCCTATAATTCTTTCAGAGCAGCAAAACAACCCTGCTCTCACAGTGAGCCTAACAACGAGCTCTGACATAGCTGGAATGGCTAGGTAGTTGTATGTAGCCAGATTTCGGAATCGCTGATCAGGACTCGTATCCCCAGTAACATTCCACTTGGCGCAGATCGATCGTTGACGGGATGTCGGACCATTGAACTCCAGCCTGTGGAGTAGAAAGTGCCATTCCGCGCCACCGTTTTCGTCGGGCAGCATGCTCCTCCGCTGCCTCTGTGTTCTCTTCACTAAATCTGGTGAACCCGGCGCTAGTTACTAAGGCACTATATGCCGCTACCTTAGCTTGCTCTGCAGAAGAATCTATTTTCATGCTATGTACCGCCTGGAATCTTTCCATAACCTCCTGTTATTCCAAGACAATCGTGAACTTGCCTGTCATGCCTGATGTAGCTGAGTGACTCCGAGACTGACACAGCTCTTAACACAGCTAGTTTCAGAGGCACGATCTGATGCCGTTGACTGCCTGCGGAGTCTTTGTGAATACAATTCTAGCGCTATTCTCATGACCAAGTCAGAGTTAGTTCTAGCACTCAAAGGTCTTCTGCATTACTAATTTTTTACCACTATGCTTCTGCGCGAAATGAGTTCGTAATGAACAACTTGGATGAATTCAGTACAAGAGCACACGTGGAACAGTGATCCTAAGTATTTCCAGTTTGCCGTATCGTACTCTTTCTATTTCTTGTTTTCTTTTTTTTTTATCCTCATTTTGAAGGTGGAGAGCGCGACCACTGAACAGTTCTCAGAATCTACTAATCATCAACCTGAATTTCCACCAATGTCGATCCCAGTTCTCACTCAACACTGTGCTTCGTACAATTCTACTGGCAATAGCCACAGAGTGAGCCACCGAGCCGGGGAAGTTCGTGCGATGACTGGTCAGTTCGAGAAACACCTCGCTTTCACACCGCAACTTGATGGACACCGTCTGCCGTAAAAACCCCTTGAGCTAGATCGCGAAGACAGCCATCCGGGAGGCGACTACAGCGGGGCGTGAATTGCGAGGAAATCTCGCGTTCTGACAGTCTCTCAGAACAGCTTCGTGCTGCAATGTATTTAGTCATTGCCCCCACTCCCGGTAGATTCTAAATATGGCACCATCACTCGCCGAAGACCTCTCCATCACCAGATGTCGTAATAACCTCAATAAGAAACAACATAAACGCTATGTGTTGGTCTTAAATATAGCAACAGCAAGCAATGAGAATAGCGCTAGAATTGTATTTACACGAAGTTTTGCACGTGTAGATTGGGACCTTTCGCTGATTTTCACATGTTGCCGAGTGTGATTTTAGTAGAGTTACATGTGGGATTCTACTAGGAATCTCTGTCGCGGCACTAGCTCATCGACCTCGCAAACTGTTGCAGCATGTGACCGATCGTCCATCCCCAACCCAGCCAGCACCTTTCTACACAGAATACATCTACTTAACTCATTGTGTGCCCCTAAATTCCTAAGGGTTATGAGAATCACAGAGACCTGCCTTAAAGTATAGAATATTTAGAAGGAGAATATGTTCAAATTTAAGTTATTGAGATCTATAATAACATGGATGTGATGGAATCTTCTAGTGAGTAGGTGAACACTCAAAAAGTTACAGGTTAGAACAGTTAAAGCTCAAATTTGAGAGATTTTCTTATTTTTCTTTTTTGAATGGAACTCATGTCAAAATAGTCTTTTGCAAGCTTTATGAAGTGGAATATTCACAGAATGCTTGTAATGTGTCTCTTTTGGGATGAATATTTGTGGTACATTTTACAAATGTGAATGTTAATTAAATTTTTGATTTACTTTAAAGTCTGGGACTAGTTAATTGGTAAAGTGTAACATTTTTTTTAAAAAAAAAATAATATTAAAAATTAAATAATAAATTTTTAATAAATTAAATTTTGTAGTATTATATGTTTTTCAAAGAGTTGTTACAATTTTTACTTAATTTACTAGAAATTAAAAATATGTATTCTGACTATAACTTAAGGTGTTATTGCATTGGCAATAGATTGACATCTTGTGATAATTATAATCCAAGTAGACACTCTTAAAGTTATGTGAAACAATGATTTTTATATAAAATGTTAAATTAATTATAATCAATTGTGGTTAAAAGATACTAAGATAATCTTTTCTTAGAAAATTTATCAAGTAAAAATCATAAGCAACTACAAAATTATAATTATTGCTATCAACAAGATTATTTGAAGTTAAAAAATTATAGCATTTTTTAACATTTAAATATTATTTTATTTTATTTTATTTTAATGGTATTTTTAATTGAATCAAATATTGTTTTTTTTTTTTTTTTTTTTTTTTTTTTTTTTTAATAATTGCACCACTTTATTAATCAATGAATTATGTAATATCTCTTTTGATATTCAATTCAATATATTTAATATGTCTTATATTATAAAACTTTGAATAATAATACTAGGTTTATAAATATTGAATATATTTATAAAATAAATGGTATTATTATTTTATATATAAAATAAAAAATAATACATAAAAAAATATAATAACTAAAAAATCATCTAACAATAATATATAATGACTCAAAAATATTTCTTAATATTTATGCTTATATTGCTTTTTACCTAATTGCAACCTTCTTATAATTTAAAATGACTTCTTGCTTGAGCAATAAACTAAATATTATTATATTCATGTCCAATACAAGAATCACAACTGATTGCATTACCAAATATGTACATAAGATAGTAAGATAATATGTACATGAAGGATATTAAGACAATTTTTTGACTTATAAGTCAATACTTTATTTATTCTTAATTTACTTTTAAAATTGCCTCTATATGATTTTTTTTGGATATATCAATAATATTAAATTTTTAAATAATAAGAATTATATAGAAATAAATAAAAATAAATAAATTAGATCATATCTTATAAAGAAGCTTTTTAGAAGTTAAATAGATGTAGATTTGACTTTATACATGTCTATAGATGATTGATAGATTGAAAACTTGACCAACAAGTTGGCCATGTATTACTCATATTAGCCACTTGTGGTACAAGTTAGCAAAGTAATACAAATATAAAAAACTTGCTTTATAAGTTAGATATGTGTTTTGCAAGTTGGACACATGTAGAGGATCTTATAGAATGTCACCATATAGATTTTAATTAGATAGTATATATAGATGCAAGAGTGAAGCCTTTTTCACTCTTGTTAATGTCTTTCTTATTTGAAGAATCTCTAATCTTCTTGTCTTTAGTAATATTCATTCTAATATTAATATAATATTATCTTCAAATAAATATCTATTCTTTTTTAGTGATACAAGAGTATATTATATTTGGATTGTTTATAATTCATATCTTTGATAATTTGATAAGAATATTAATTAGTTATTTTTTTTTGTTTAGAAGTAAGTTGATTTTACTATTATATATTATTGTATTTTAAAAGTTGGTGACTATCCATGTTTAAATTAATATTTTATATTTTTTAATATTAAATTTTTATTTTAAAAAATATACTACATGTCATGGATTTATATATTTATTTTTAAATAAATATTTTAAATACTATTAGTGGTGGTTCTTATTTCTAATAATATCACCAAATATTAGGAGTTACTTATAATATTGTAATACCAAAATACATTGTATTTAATCATTTATTTGAAGAAGAACATATTGTTCTTGAGGGTCTTTATTTCTATTACTTTTTCCTGAAGGTTGTGAAAATATCAATGCTTTGTTTGATAACTCAACAAAAAATAGCATTTTAGTTACATTGATTGGTTATTTATTCTCTATCTCCTTGGCATTACGAATATATAAAAACCACAAATAAAAATAAAAGATAGAATGTAATTTTTATTGAATCTTATTTTCTTTATAGCAAGTAAATACTTGGCTCTTCATATTGGTTTTGATGGATGTTATTGATGAAAAGCCTCAATTAATATTATATTTTTACTAATTTATAAGATATTCTAATCTATTTTGGTGTCGCCTTAAGTCTAAGGTTTTGTTAACATCAAATTCTTGATTATTGTCCATTTTTATAGGAAGAAGTGACATTTATCTTTTTTTTGAAATATTGAATATCTTACAAGTTTCAAAAAGAAATAAGTCAAATATTATATGAATCTTTATAGATTCTTGTAGATATAACTCATAAGCAATTGAATTAATCTATTCACAAATAAAAAATGATTTAAGTCTACAATGATTTAGTTTGTCAGAAAGATGGCTAATTTTGATATTACAACAAAGTAATTATATTATATTGTCTACTTGAAATCAAGGTTATATCAAAGATAAGAATTCAAGGAATGTATATAAATAAGTAAGATTTTTTTCAAAAAAAGATGAAAAAAAAAAAATAAAAAAACATGTATATTTAATAAAAAAATTAAGTGGATATTGTCAAAAGATAAAAAAAATTTAGACTCTTAAAACTAGATTAGAGGCAAGAAAGGAGTTGAGAAGAGTGAGGAAGGCCATACTCTTACTTCTATATATACTAAATAACTAAGAGATATGTGGCTATACAATGTTGAAGATCAGCAAGTACTTGCTTAGTTACAACCACATAGAGTTTAAGCATAGTATGTTGCTAATAGTAAAAAGACAACAAAGAGTTAAAGTAGGTTATTGTGGTAGCATTAAGGCTTTAGTTGGATGAGGTAGAAATGGATGTAATATCAAAAGGATGGAAGTTGCCTCATTGGTGAACAAACCACCACCTATAAGTAAAGAATGTTGGAAGTAAGAATCATCTTTCTCCATACTTCTCTTTGACTACAATCCTTGCTGATGCTAAGTGTTTGTAGCTTTTAGACTTCTTTTTTTTAATAGATTATGGGCCCACTCACATTTGCTTGAGTTTTTTTTGAAGTTCTTTGAAGTGGTTTTGTAAGTGTGGAATAGATCAAATTGATGTTAGGCTTTGGAAGAACCTAACTTTCAGATTCAGATCTAGATCTAGATCATGGTTTGCTCTTACTTGTGGTTAAGAGTATTTTGGTGTTAGTGTCTTGTTTTTCACCTATAGACAAAGTTTGCATTATACTTCTGCTGAGATAGATCCTTGGTAATCTAACTTTACGATTTCATGTCCTAAAGTTACTGATTGTGCTTAAAAGACCTTTTATGGTGTATAGAGGTGATTTGTGAGCATAAGAAAGATATTAGAGTGGAAAATCAGATTTGAGACACTTAAATAAGCCATCAGACTTGTGATAAGTTTTAGAAGTGAAGTTCAGAGAGTTTTTGAGGGTTAAAATACTAGTTTGTTCACAAAGAAGGATTCTGTGATTTTAAGGCAACAAAACCTTCGTGTTGATTTTTGAGAGCATTAGGACTTCTTCTTACAATTTCTTTTGATAAAACTCTTCCTTAGACATGGCTTCAAGTGAGAGTGAAGGATTGAGAGTTATTGAGAAGTTTAGAGGTGACAATTTTTACGATTGGAAGGTAAAAATGGAGC